CTGTAGAAATAAGAACCTTAGGAATAAGAACCACATTATACACTGAAGGCATACCTAGGCTGATTCTAACAATCAGAATTTAACTGCCAGCAACAAAACACAACACTCTCTAAAATCTACATTTAGCACATAATCTAGAGTTCCAATAACATATAAATATCTAGGCTATAATAAAATTTTACCAGATGTGCAAAGAAATAGACAATTGTGATCTAAACTAAAAAAAGAAAGAAAAAGGAAATAGAACTGAAGATGATCCATATTTTGGAATTATGACGGAAGGACTTTCAAGTAGTTACTATAAATATGTTCAAGGACATCAAGAAAAGGTAGTCACAATGAGCACACTGATGTGGAATCTGAGCAGAGAAATAGAAAACATAGAAAAGAACTAAAAGGAAATTCTGTTATGGTTCATGTGTGGTTGTCCCCTCAAAGCCTCATGCAATCATGGGGTGGCTTCTGGAGTTTGTGATTGATTATTGTAAGTGTTGGTGCTGCATCTACCCTGGGGCAGGTAATCTGCATAACAACATAAGGAGGAGAAAGAGGCTAGCTAGCTATCCTAGTTGCTACCCTTCCTTTGGTCTTTGCTGTTTTTGTCATGAACTGCCCTCCTCTGCCATGTGCCACTCTGCCTTGGAGCCAGGCGAGTATGGGCTGACGCTTCCACAAACTGTGAACTAAAGAAACTTTTCTTCCTTAATTTGGGGCACCAAGTATTTTGTCTTAGCAAGGAGAGAAAAGTAACTGAGACAAATTCTAAATGTTCAAGTGCAATATATAGAAATTATATAGAGATTTATAGACTTATAGAAAGATTAGAGATTTCAGGTTATATGATAAATAAGCTGAAGAAAGACAAATAGAAATCACCCAATTTGAAGCTTAAAAGATGGTTTTTAAAAATAAACAAATCTCAGTGAATTATGGAACAATTGTGTGATATATTGTACATGTAATTTAAATTCCACAGGGAGTAGAGTGAAAGAACAGAAAATTATTTGGAGAAATAGCCAGTTTCCTCAAATCTGGTGAAGAACATGAAATTACAATTTCAAATAAAGCCCAATAAATTCCAAGTAGGATGAGCACAAAGAGAAGCACATCTTGGAATGTCAAAATCAAACCTGAAAATTAAAGATAAAGAGACAATAATAAAAGCAGGTGGTGGTGGAGAACCCAGAACCACAACAACAAAAAAACCCCCAACAAATAGAAAGACAGTGCATCTGTTAACTAAATGTTTGTGTGCCCTCCCAAAATTCATTTGTAGAAATCTAATTTACTATGGTATGGTACTTATATATAGAGCTGTGGGGAAGTAATTAACTAATGAAGATGGAGGTTTCATTAATGAACTTAGTGTTCTTATTTTTAAGAAAATGGTCAGTGAGCTGGCTTGTGCTCTTTCCACCATGTGGAGATACAATGAGAAGTCATCTACCTGCAACCAGGAAGCAAGTGGATACCAGCTTTGTCAGTCTTAATCTTGGACTAAATGTCTGCTAAAGTCACCAGTTTATTTTTTTTTTAGCTGTTCAAACTAAGACAATTCACTTGGAAAATTGAATAATATATGTTTAAAACGAATATAATTTTGTTATAATGTTTATATTAAAGGTAGATAAAAATATATGCCAAGAATGGCACAAATTATAGATGAATGAAAAATAGAATTTTGTAAGATTCTTGTAATTTATTTGAAACTGTATAATATTACTCTAAATAGATTATGATAAAGGAAGGATTCACACTGTCATTCCTAGAGTAAGTGCTAAGACAAACATACACATGCATATAGCTAAAAAGTCAACAGAAAAATTACAGTGAAATGCTAAAAATATTCTATAAACTTAAAAGTTGGGAAGGAGAAACAGAGGAACAGAAAGAGGTGTACCAATAAGAAAAAAACATGAGGTGCCTGACTTCAAATCAATAGTTACAGTACATGTGAATAGACTAAACATTCTACTTAAAAGAGAGAGCTTTAACAAGACTGAAATAAATACCATCTTTAAGGAAACAACTTGTAATATGATGACAGAAATAAGTTAAAAATAAAAGAATGGAGAAATACATATCACTCTGCCGAGCCAATTTCCCTCTCATTCTTCATTTTTGCTCTCTTGAATAAACTTTGTCACTGATTTTGCTCATTTACTTCAGTTCTTTGTTCAAGATGAGAAGAACCTGAAACTGAATTCTAGAAGGAGAGGGGAGCAATCCAGAACTTGGTAACATTTAGTTAGAAACAAGCCACCCAGTAACAGTAGCATCCCCTACAATAGTCAGCCAGCTACCTGGTAGATGGTTCATTATTAGCAGTACTTATATGATGGAAAGAGCAGTGCTTTGTTCTTACTGGAACAAATACCTACTCGGGATAAAAAATTTGTTTCTCTTGTGCACAATGCTTCAGCCAAAACTACCACATGGACTTAACAGTGACTTACTCATCATCATGATATTCTATGAAGCGCTGTTTCCGATCCAGAAATACTTTATAGCAACAGAAGTGTGCCAATGGGACTACGGTTATGCAATTCATTGGTCTATGTTCCTCATCATCCTGAAGCAGTTAGCTTGACCAAACAGTAGAATGGCCTTATAAAAATCGACTCATGGCATACCTCAGGTGGTAATACCTTGTGGGTTTGTGGAAATGTCCTCCAGAAGGCTGTATATGCTTTCAGTTGGCATGTGCTACCTGTTGGGCCTTTTCCTAGGGTTCATGGACCCAGGAATCAATGGGTGGAAATGAAAATAGTGCTTCTCAACAGGACCTCTAGTGATTCACTAGTAAAACTTTAGTTTCCATTCCATCCTTGTGAACTTATTCTCTGCTGGTCTACAAATCTTGATTTGAAAGGCAGGAAAGTTTATACCAGGAGAGGCAGCAATAATTCCACTGAACTAGAAATTATGACCACCATCTGGCCTGTGTGGGTTCCTCAAGTCTATAAGTCTGTAAACAAAGAAGAAAATTACTGTGCTGGTTAGGATTACTGGACCTGATTAATCAAAGTGAAATTAGATTGATACTACCCACTGGATATAAGAAAGAGTATGTCTAGAATACAGGAGGTCCTTCAAGATGTCTCTTAGTACTGCTATAAAACAAATTTTGTGTCTCCTGGAAGGTCAAAGTTTGAAGCCCTAATCTCTAGTGTAATAGTATTTGGATGTGGGGCCTTTGGAAGGTAAGTTAGTTAATCAGAGTGGAACCTTCATGAGATTCATGCCCTTATAAGAAAAGTACACGATGGGCTGGGGAGATAGTTCAGAGGCATAAGCACCTGCCTGGCAAGTGCAAGGTCCTGAGTTTGATCCTTGGCACCACATGTCATGCCGGCCCTGGAACCCCTGCACATTGTTCAGGCCCCAAAACTGGGCACGGTGGTGCACACCTGTAATCCAGGTACTGGGGAAGCTGATACAGGAAGATCACGATAAGTCTGAACCTCATAGTGAGACCCCATATCAATAAAAAAAAAAAAGAGAAAGAAAGAAAGAAAGAAAGAAAGAAAGAAAGAAAGAAAGAAAGAAAAGCACATGAGAAATGATCCCATTCTTTGCACATGAGGATACAGGAAGAAGGTATCCATTTATAAACCACGAAGAAGTCTCTTAGCAGGAACCAAATTGGCCAACACCTTGATCTTAGACTTAAGTACATTTCTGTTGTTTAAGTCACCCAGTTGATGCATTTTTTTCACTATGGCAAAGTTTCATATTTATTAAAGGTAGGAGGGAAACTAGAAGGATAGGGGAAGAATGAGCTCTGCAGAGTGAGTTTGGAGTGACTAAAAAGGGAGAATAAAAGCCAGGTGTTGTGGCACATGTCAGGAGGCTTAGGCAGGAGGATCGTTGCAAGTTCAAGACCAGCCTGGGATATGAAGTGAGCTCGAGGCCAGCCTGAACTGCATAGTGAGACCCTGTCTCAAAAAGACGAAGGAAAAGAAAGGAAAAAAAAATTGTTTAAATACACCTGACAGCCAGACTCTCACTCCAGCCAGCACACAGGCCCGGAATGTGAGTGAGACTGCCCAGGTCCCTCTGAATCCTCACTCCAGCCAGCATGCAGGCCTGGCATGTGAGTGGAACTGCCTGTTGGTTTGACAGCACCCAGGCCAGGTGTATGTATGTGTAACTTCCTCCATCAGACAGGCCCAGTGTGAAACCCTGTGGCAGAACTCCCTGCAGAGAGGCTAGAGGCAAGACCCAGGAGCAGATCCAGGTGCAGAACATCTTGCCAGAGTGGTATAGTGGGTTCATTTCCAAGGGCTGCAGCAGAAAGAAGTGGAGCACAGAAGCCAGACCCAAGCCACACCCACCTGGATGAGTTTGAACTTGGTAGATCTGGACCTGGTGCTAAGGTAATAACTCTACCAAAGGTCTTCACCAAAGGTCAGAAGACAGTGCTATATAAAATGACAAAGAGAAGGAGCAAAACGCATTCTTAGACTCCCATTGCAGTCAAAACAAATGCAGGAGACAATAATATAGAAGAAATTGGAAAGCATACACCTGAGGTCTCTGAAATAATAGCATCAGAAGTAAAGAAACAACTACAGAAAGGTACAGAGGAAATCAGATCAGAAATAATTTCTGAAGTAAAAAAAGAAATGATAACTATAATGAAAGAAGTAGTAAGTGTTTCTAAAGAAAACACTGATTAAAAAATAGAAGAAAGAAAGAAGAAAAAAAATAGAAGAGAACAGAAAAATGATGGAATCCTCGAATGAGCCACACAGTAAAGAAATAGAATGCATGAAACCGATTCAAAGTGATATACAGGAAATTAAAATCTCAATCACAAGCTGGCAAAACCATTTGAGTGAAAGTGAAAATAGACTTTCAGAGCTTGAAGACACCCTTGCAGCTAGTGAAAAGGACAGAAAAGATTTCTTAAAAACAACTAGGAGGGGTTGGGGAGGGGGCCCAGGACCTCAGGCGGGGGTCCTGAAGCCAAGGACCAGTTCCCGGTCCCCAGCAGCATGGCACCCTGTGCAGAGGAACCCTCTGAGCCTGCTGCCTTGCCACCTGCTGGGCTTCCCCCGTTTGAGGACATCGAAGTGCTGAATGGGGTTGAAGGTACAGATGCTGAGGAGGAAGAGGAAGAAGAGGAGAATGACTTGAGTGAGCTGTCACCACTGGAAGACATGGGATAGTCCCCAGTAGAGGAGGCCAAGCAGCTGGGGGCACTGGCCCAAGAGTTTCTGGCCTCTGTGGAGCCTGTACCTGCACCACTCCCAGCCCCGGAAGAGTGACTGGACATTCTGAGGAATAGGCTGCTCAGGAAGAAGACACTGGTCCCAGCCCCTCCGGACTCCAGCTGCCTGACCAAGTGCCAGGTGGTGACAGTGCAGCTGCAGATGTCACTGGAGAATGGCACACGGGTGCAGGAGAAGCCTGAGCTGGCCTTCACTCTGGGATGTCATCCAGGCCCTGGACCTCAGTGTTCCCCTCATGGATGTGGGTGAGATGGCCATGGTCACTGCTGACTCCAAGTACTGCTACAGCCCCCAGGAGAGCAGGAGTCCCTACATCCCCCTGCATGCAGCGCTGTGCCTGGACGTGACCCTGAAGACAGCAGTGGATGGACCTGACCTGGAGCTGCTCACAGGCCAGGAGCACGTGGCACTGGCCAATCGGAAGCATGAGTGCAGCAATGCCCACTATCAGTGCACAGACTTCATGCTGGCTGCCAACTCCTATGACCTGGCCATCAAAGCTATCATCTCCAGCGCCAAAATGGACATGACTTTTGAGGAGGAGGAGAAGCTGGTGCAGCTGAAGGTCAAGTTTCTCAACAACCTGGCGGCCTCACAGCTAGAGTTAGACCCCTACCACGCCACCCTGTGCTCTGGCAGCCTGGTGCTTGAGCACCAAACTGAGGACATCAAGGCGCTTTTCTGCAAGGGCAAGGTGCTGGCGCAGCAAGGTGAGTACAACGAGGCCATCCCCATCCTGAGGGCAGCGCTGAAGCTGGAGCCTCCCAACAAAACAATCCACACTGAGCTTTCAAAGCTGCTGAAAAAGCACACAGTGCAGCGAAGAACAGAAACCGCCCTGTACTGGAAGATGCTGGGCAACCCCAGCTGGCTGCCTGCCAAGTGTCCTGGCAAGGGTGCCTGGTCCATCCCGTGGAAGTGGATGTTTGGGGCGACTGCCATTGCCCTGGGGGGCATGGCTCTCTCTGTGGTCATCGCTGCCAGGACCTGATCACCCAGGTGACTGCCACCCTCTCCACACACCACGGACCCTACCCTAACTCCCCACCCCACCCCACTCAACTCCCTGGCTCCCTGTCTGCTGCCCACTCTGGTCTAGCCCCTCCCCCAGGCCAGGGAAGCAGGAATGGGGTCTTGCAGCCCAGAAAGTGTGGGGTCAAGGCCCAGGGAGGGTGGTGAGGCACTGCCAGGAAGAGCAGAGGGGCCCTGCTCCTCCAGACCTACTCCCTGCCCACCCCCATCCCCCACCCCCGGGGTCAAGCCTCAGTTTCTCCTCTCAACAGCTGGGGGGTGGCCCTCCCCCAGCACAAGCTTCCTACCCATCTGTTGCCCTCCCTAGGTCCCCACAGTGAAATAAAGCCTCCCACCTGAAAAAAAAAATGTAGGATGCAGGAAAAAATGATTCAACATCTGCAAGACGATGCAAAGATGAACAATGTAAGACTAATAGGCATTAATGAGAAAGAAGGAGTCAACACAAATGATATAAAGAGAATATGGGCAGAAGTAATAGCAGAAAACTTCCCAAACATAGGGAAACAATCTGACATTCAGGTAACTGAAGCATACAGAACTCCAAATAACATCAACCCAATTAAAAACACATCCAGACATATAATAATAAAGCTCCCAGAAATTCAGCACAGGAACAGTAAAAAAAAACCACTAGAGAAAAGAAACATAACATTTAAAGGAAAACCCATCAGAATAATGGCAGATTTCTCTACACAAACCATTAAATCAAGAAGAGCATGGAGCAAAGTACTTTCAAGTTTTGCAATAAAACACATTCCAACCCAGACTGATATACCCTGCAAAACTGTCTTTCAAGTTTGATGGAGAAGTGAAATACTTCCATGACAAAGAACAACTAAAGAATTTCATGACAACAAAGCTAACCCTACATAGACTAATAAAAGATATTCTAGAGGGAGATCAAAATGACCACAACTCCATGAATGAGAACAGAAAGAACCCAGCAAATAAGGCAAACAATTAAACACAGGAGAAAAAGAGGTGTACAGCAGCAGTCTGTCAATTATTCTTTTGTATACAGCAGCAAAATATTTCCATCAGCGTACTCTACAAATAGACTTCTCCTGCACCCTATAGGTCATGATTCTGTCTGGGTCTACAGGGTGAATATCAAGGAAATAGCAGTAGCTCAATCCCATCAGTGACACCTGACCACCAGTAAGCATCATGGACACTGTCCACATCTACCACATACTAGAACTTTGTGTGATTTCCTATCTCCAAACTGTTAGAAGTGTTGGTTATATATTTGCCATTCCAGTACTTTTGTTATGTTTAATCTTAGTAATTCTTTACTATCATGAAAACTTTTTCTTACTTGATATTTTTGCCTATATTAATCTAATCAAATATTGTGTGAGTACTCTGAATTAATCTCAGATTCTTACATAAGATACACTACATTCTGGCCTCTTAGTTGGACTCACAATTTAATTTTAATTTTTGAATATTATTTTGAAATATTTAATTTAATTTTGAATTAATTAATATTTAATTGTCTTAATATTGTTTAATTTTAATTTTTGTTTTATGATTTATACTGTTTCTTTGACTTACAATCTACTTATGAGACATAGTATGATATTTTCTCCTAGTATTAGAAACTTTAAAAAGTGCATTTCCATTTTCCATTGGCTTTATATTAGTTTTTCTTTGTCTTACATACACACAAAACCACACACACACACACACACACACACGAAAAAAATATGTATATAACCTGACATAAGATTGATAGTTTTATGGAAATCTTCAATGACCTTTTGAATGAGTTTGTCTAATATAATTATATTTTAAACAGTCCCGAATAACTGCCATTTTGACAGTTCTTTATTCTTTATGCAAGACCATACAGCAACTTCTCTTCCTTCTGGATTATGGTCTTTGTTATTTTCTATATGCTACGTCTGAAGGTATTAGAATATTTTGAGTTTGTATAACTGGAAAATATTTTACTTTTAGTTTTCAAAGTTATATTTGCTAAGTATAAAATTCAGTGAGGACAGATCTTTTTTATTTTCAGTTCTTTGAATAAAAGTCTAGTTTCTTACCCACTTACTCTTTTTTTCTAATGTGGAATAAGATGCTATTTAATTTTGTTCTTCCATACCTAATATTTTTCTATGTATATGCTTTAGTGATTTTTTTCTTTATAATTAGTTTTGGACAATTTCATTTTTGTGTATCTTGGTATGATTTTATTAATATTTCTTATGCAAAAAGGTTCATTTTTCTTGGAAATGTGCTGCTATAATTTTAACTAAATTCAGAAATTTTAAATCTTTAAATATTTATTGCCTACCCCTTTCTACTTTGAGAATTCTAATTATATGAATGTAAGTTTCTTGATTTTGGCACAGAGTGAACTATTATATGATTGATCTGTAAACTCTTCTTCATGTTTATTTTAGACAATTTTTATTGTTATATTCATTTAAGTTTGTAAACAATTTTTTACAATGTGCAATCTATTATTAATCTCAGGTATTCACTTCAGAAACATCTTTCTAAAATTCACTCTGTGTACATCTTGTATCTTTCACATTTCAATATTTATCTAAAATTTTTAATTTGCTATGTAATTATTATTGATTTTCAGTAAAGTTGATGAGTTAAGAAAAATAAATTAAATTAAATTTTTTTAAAAAGCTGACAGTGTAGAGTAAGCTATGGTGAAACACAATAGCGAGTGCTTAATGGTAATGGTTCCTTTTCTATATTTCCCACATTGGCATCACGTCTAGATCATCCTATCAAAAATCTGCTCAATCTTTTGTGAGAAGTCCACATTCAGAGTTTTGGAACCTTCTCTGCTGTGTTCCAGGATCTTGTCACACTTCCTTTCCCAACTAGTTTTAGCCATGCCCTAACTTCCTGTTTCATTTCCCCCCCCTGAGAAACACATGTCCCCATAATTCTTTATGGGGTGTTAAGGGAGTGAAGGCCTCTGTCTCCTTTCAGTTACACCTGGCTAAAAAGGGCTGCAGACCTTTCCTACAGGGATTATGTGCTGTCCGACTACTATGAGATGTTGTGGTTCACTGGTTGGATTGAAGAGAAAAGCTGTTTTAAAAAACAATGAGAAGAAAAACAAAACAAAACAATGAAAAGGCCTTTTTATCAAGATGGTGCTAAAGGCAAAGAAGGAAGCCCCTGCCCCTCCCAAAGCTGAAGCCAAAGCAAGAGCTTTGAAGGCCAAGAAGGTTGTGCTAAAAGGCATCCACAGCCACAAAAAGAAGATATTAATGTTACCCACCTTCCGCTGTCCCAAGACACTGGCTCCAGAGGCAGCCCAAATGCCCTCAGAAGAGCACCTCAGGAGAAACAAGCTTGACCACTATGCCATCATCAAGTTTCCCCTGACCATAGAGTCAGCCATAAAAAAGATCGAGGACAGCAATACACTCATGTTCACTGCAGATGTCAAAGCCAGTAAGTACCAAATCAAACAAGCTGTAAAGAAGCTTTATGACATTGATGTTGCCAAGGTCAATACCTTAATCAGGCCTGATGGAGAGAAGAAGGCATATGTTTGACTGGCTCCCAATTATGATGCATTGGATGTTACCAACAAAATTGGGATCATCTAAACTGAGTTCAACTGGATAATTCTAAATATATACTTTTTCCCAGAAAAAAAAAAAAACAATGAGAAAAGAATTAGTGATCAACAAGCTGTTTATTTGATGGGAGAAAGAAACTTTACTATTAACCCAAATATGATTGAGTTCAAGTTTCCATACTTCTTACACAGGACAATATGTGTCTTAGAGGATATCAGAAAAGTTATCAGCAGCATGCGAGCCATGGCCTTAGCAAGGTCCCCCTTACTTAGCTGTAGCAGCACTAGAGTCTTGGTTTTTGAAGAGAAATCTCAAATCTTCCAGAGACTCACAGGAATAGTTTTTTCTTCTTGGGTGGTCTTTTTCTTCGGACAGTCTAGGTGGAGATGGCTTTCTCCTAGGAGCATGAATACAGGCATCTATCTCTGCCTCCTTTTCTGCAGTATGTAGCCAGGTTCAATGAAAAGGGACCCTCTCATTTTGGTTTGAATTGCCTTGCAGGAATCCCTACTTTCTGAGTTTTCATGAGCACTGGGTCCCCAGGATGGATACTAGGAGGTCCTCCTGGGCCAGGAACTGGCAGAACTGTTCCCATACATTTCGATGGCCTATTATACCTTGCTTAGGTTCCTAAGATATTGTAAGAATCTTGTGGTCTCTGGGCTTGCTACTACATCAGAGGCCAGAAATGGCCTCCCATAGAACCTCTCAGGTGGGCACGTTTTAAACCCTCATGAGTGCTAAAAGCAAAAATTGGAGCCAGGACATAGACATCACTTGGCAAAGTTTTTACAGAACTGCTCTAGGGTCTGGTTATCTCTCTCAATTTTTCCAGGAGACTGAGGTCTCCATGTAGAATGCAGATAGTAAGCATTTTATAGCTTTTGTCACTCCCTGCTTTATTTGAGCGGTAAAGGAAGTTCCATTGTCACTCTAGAGTAACTGGTGTAGTCCAAATCTGGGAATGACTTCTTTAAGGAGCAAGTTGACTACCTCCATAGCCTTTTATGAACAGGTGGGAAAGGATTCAGTTCAGCCTGTAAAGGTGTCAATTAGGACCAGTGTCTGTGTAAATCCCCCATGTGGTGCATATAGGTAAAGTCTAATTGCCAATCTTCCCCAGGCTACATTCTCTCTTTTGTACAGGTTTTAACAAAGAAGATGGTTTAGTCTTGACAGGGTCCTTATAGGCACAGATTGGGCAAGATTTGCAGACCTATCAGGTGGTTTCCACTAGTCTCTGCCCTGTGAAAATTTAAGTAACACTTCCAGTGTACCATCTTTACCCATATGGGAAAAACCATGAAGTGTTTTTATAGCCTTCTATTATGTCTCTTGAGGAAGAAGCATGCAAATATTACTAGTGAGAATAGATTGGTTTTAATGGTGCTTC